ACGACAGTTGTCCAGCAGTGCTCCCATTTTATTTACAACAATTCAATGCCTACAAAATTGTGCCGAAGGTGTGCCGAAGGTGTGCCGAAGGTATATCGAAGGTGTACGGATAGATGTGCCCAAGCTGTGCCGATTCTAATTTCGGCACAATGTGCTGAGTGACTTACCCCTTGACTTGAACCACACAACATATGTGGAACTTCATGCAAAACTGCTGATTAAAAGTTGACCCCTTTTTGTGTTTCCTCAGTGGTATAACCAACCGGTGAACACTCGTGTTTATTTCAGTTACCATGGAGACGTAATTTGTGATAAGCCCCGGTTTCTTGAAACGGTCAAACGATCGTTTCATATAGAAGCGTTAAAGTTGGTTGCTCCTAGTGCTTAGGCAATAGGTAAATTCGAGTGCTCGAATCAATTTGTTTTGAAATGACGATGATAGTGGGGTGCCTGTGTTTTCACCCATGTCAATGATTAATGACAGGGAAAATCTAATGATGAATTTTAGAAATCAAGATAGTACCGGAAACAAAACTTGGAATATTGAAAAGATGAAATGAATAGAAGGGAAGTTTATTGGTTGGTCAGGGAGAGCTATTTGGTCTTTCCCTTTTGGACCGCCGAGTGAAGAAGATCAGTACAGAATTTTAAGAAAATCAGTGCAGTGAACAAAACCTATAATAAAATCAAGTACGGTGAAAACTTAAAGAAAAAAAAAATTAAAATGTTGTAATGTGGTTTTTTTCAGAATTTATTAACCTTTTTTTATAAATAAAAAGCACACAAAAACGTGAGTCACGAGTGCGAAAATTGTTTATAAAAGTAAGCGAAGTTTATTTGCAAAAGTGAAGATAGTTTCCTAATCAGTTAAATTTTTTAATTGAAAGGTTTTTCTAGAAAAACAGGCTAAGGTAGCTAAAAGTGAGTTGGAGTAATTTAAGTGAAAAGATTGAGAATTCAGGTAAAGTAGTGGATAAAAACATGTGTGATGTGTTTCTGAGGAGTTTTCTTTGTTTCTACAGAAGCCACTGAGCGGTGGCAACAGCGATTTGGGCTTGTGGCAGGAACGTTCGCTAAACATATTGCGAGGTTATTTTGGACGGTATTTCCATCGGTTCACCTCCCAGAGTGAATTTGAGTCCTTGGTTGGTGGTATCAGGCTTGGTTACCCTGAGTGCTCCTATCGCCTCGTGGTTGCGTACCACTATAGGACATTCGGAGAGCGTTGGTCATCGGATGAAGAACTCGGCCCCACGTGCATCACACGCCTAAAGTGATTGCCTGTTTCGTGGGAAGGTCCACAAGGGGGGAAGGCTGCCAACGCCAGCGTAATCCGCCCGACTCACGTCCTGAAAACCGGAGGTCCTCCGTGCGATACCACCCCACAGAAAAACCGCCCACCGACGCTAGTGCACACTGGAACTATCCCAAACGGTGAATTCCTTATCTAGCGAGTTTCGCCCGGCAATGCCACTCGACGACATCCGCCCCGCCCGGTGCACGCTATTGGTCGCCACTCTGGCGACGCTCCCTTTTTGAGGTGAGGATACGGCGTTGTCTGACCCGGCGATCGTTGCGGTCAAAGCGATCTCCAACCGTCGCATCTTCATCTTGGTCGCGGTGAACAACTTGGCACCGAACCATCGAGCATCATCGAGCCGGTCTGAAGTAGACGGACGAGTGTGGCTCGAACAGGTACCTTTGAGCAGCAACCGTAAGTACGCGAACCATTCTCCTCACACTCACAAGCACACCGATTTATAAGCAGGGACCCTGAATTATATTTAGTAGGGGAAGAAAGCTTTTTTAGGGGTTAGAACGACTCACAAGGGAACACAAAAGGGGGGGAAGGGAAGAGTAGAGGTAGAGCAGGGTTTTGTGAATAAAACAACAACAACAAAAATTAAAACGAGCAAACCATAAATGGATTTTTTGAACCTTTCAAAACCAGGTTTTGTTTTTCGTTAAATCGAATCTGACTTTACTGAACTTGATTTTAATAAACCTATTTCACATGCACTGTATTTTAAAATTTACTCAATCAATTAAAAACAATTGGAAGATAAAATTAGAATAACAAAATTGGGGGGGAAAAAGAACGATTGGACTATTGGACTTGGGACGTTGATGGTTTTTGGTCGTTGGGTTACTCTAGTGGGTGGAATCTGCTGGGTTGAGAAAACTGCTAGCTGGGCACACATATCTGCAATTCTCGGCAGACGACTTCTTCGTCTGGCGCATAAGCCGGAATTTTTTGAGAACCCTAGCAGGATCCCCCTTACACCCTTTCAAATTGTATCATTATTTATGAACGGCCTTATATTTGAAATAACGTTTTAGATTCATCTAGTGATGTCCGATTTTCATTCGAATAATCGTTTAATCGATTAACGAACCGAAAAGTAAACTATTTATAATCGGTTAGATCATGCCGATATAAGCATTAACATCTCCACAGGATCATCACCGATCGTTTCAAACATGTGCTGCACTCTCATTGGTGGAAAAATGGCAGCACAGCGAACAAAAAATAATCGATTAGTTGTTAATCGAGTAATTTAAAAATGGGACATTTCTGATTTTGGTGTGATCTTCCGAGGGGGCATCAAAACCACAAAATTACCTTGAATACGGGGGGTTCTCATTGGATGAAAGGGACCGTGAAAAAAGACACTAAAATAGAAAAATTTTCTTTCGACAGTTTCATCTTAGTATTCATCTTTGGTATAACTGGTATAGTTGTACATCGATCGGTCAAAATTAAATTTTCGTTATTCGACACTGAGTCTTCATATGGGCCAATGTCGGAAACGTAAGCAATGGCTTCTTTCGTAAATATCTTGTATTTCAAAGTCAATCCATGTAACCCAGCATATGGGGACTTTCTCTATACACAAACATCGTGGTGGCTTACTTGAGTGAGTTTTCATTCTCAAGAAATTCGTGGAAAAGTCAGTGTTTACGTTTGTGACATTGGCCCTTATGAAAGAAAATCAGATATTTGGTTGCATGCTCAGTGCACGTTATTTGCTTGTCACTCCCAACATAGTTTACCAATTTTTGAGTAGGTTCAGTTGTAACCGATCTGGGAGAATTCTACCCAAATTGGAGTAGTTTTGAAATAACGTGTAAGTATTGACGTTGACGGTGGCTTTCTAGCTCTTTACTCCTATGGTAAAATCCCAAAGTCTAGCGGATTTTGTCTTATCTCTTCACTCCACCATGGTACCAGTGAGCCACCGTCTTTTCATGCAAAGATTAACAGGATCTTATGAGATTTTGCACTGGAGTGAAAGAGTAAGGTAATGTCTAACATGTTTCTTGCACAGACTCACGTTTTCTTATGGGATTTTACCATAGAAGTAAAGAGTTACAGAGTGACCGAAAAGGCTAATTGTCAAGGTAATGCGAACATTCTTTTTAAGACTATATCTGTGGCACAGGGGGCCTATCAATTGATCTATTAACGAGTGTTTTCAAGTCGATCAGAAGTCAATAAAGCGCATTGTTAACCAGTCATACCAACAATCAATACGAAAGTAACGATTTTAAATTGGCTCACTACTTGACTCAAGCGTTTGGTCCCAAGCAAACGATTAACGTACCCCATTCTAGTATAAATTCTAGTACTACGCAATGTTTGTTGTGATTCGCTATGAAAGTTTGACAGATAAAATGAGGGGTTATTGGTTTTTCCTATGTTTCGAGGGGTGAATCGATTAGCTTGGGACCGAAGAGAGTACCAGAGCTGAGCCAAAAAGTTGAGCACGTTATTTCGGGACCTTCTAGTCTTAGAGTTACCTCTATGGTCATACTGTAGATAACCAGTCAGTAGATCTTTGTGTTGGGATTTGAGCAGAAACATTCGATTTTACGCTATTGAGAAACATAGAGAGGGTTGAAACCTTAAGTATTACAGGTATCGATAAGCGCTCGATTTAATTTGTCATCTTGCAAAATTCTTGTGAATGAAAAGATGCAAGGTTAGCTCAAAACACTGCATATTTTCCACAATATCAAGAGATTTATGTCTGTTTTACGTATTAATTCCAAGAAGAAGAAGTTCCGCTGAAGCTATCAAATGAAGCAAATCCGGAGTGATTTGAGATTTGGGCGTAATTGCATTTGTAAACAAACACGTGAATCACCGATTTCTCGCGAATAAAAGCTCAATCTCAAAAAGTAATAACACTATTATTCCTCTATCATGGTTTGTTTGTGAGATTGAGCTTTTATTAAAGAGCAATCAGTAATTGACGTTTTTCTTTACAAAAACAATTACGCCCAAATCGCAAATCACTCCGGAAATGTACTTCAATTTCTCAACGCACACTATGTTTTTTTTTTTTTCATTATTCAGCTCTTTTTTATACTGGCGGTAGAACTTTGACAGCTTCTTGAGATTTGCAATACTTGTATAGTTGAAGATGCTAATTTCGAATAACAGACTGAAGTGGTAATTTTTATACGATAGATGAGGAGGATATGAAAGTATAGAATTGATAGTTCCGTTTAGATTACGGCAGTGTGAAAATTGCATATAGAGAATAGAAAGCGAGCTAGACAACTTTTAAGGAAGGTACAAATTGGTTTTATCATCTCTCTTTACCAAACTCCCCCTTTGGAGAGGGATGGTGAGGGAGTTCCCTTCCCCCATAGTGAAACTATTCACTTTATAATGATAAAAACCAGATTAAAACAGTATTTTAATTCTATTCGTAATTTTAACACACTACTTGTAATGAAAATTGTACAAAATGGTCTACGTCTGATTGACTACAGTAAATAAATAAATAAATCACCCTGTATATAACAAAAAAAAAATTCAGTAGATAAAATAAGCCGATCTATCTTGTAACACATCCCACCCTCAAATGTTGAAGTACAACCAAACACACGCGCTACTCAATCTGCAATCAAATTGAGTAGGTACTCAACCGTCTTCGATAGTAGTATAAAAAGCAATTCTTCACCCAACCAGGCACGGTAGATGATTCAAAATGTTCACCACCGTAATAACAGTCGTGGCAGTGGCAATCTGCCTTACTCAAACGCACGCAGATCAGCACAGTTCCTTACGAATCGTCAATGGAACCGCCGTGGACATCCGGAACCACCCACACCAGGTGGCAATTGTATCGCGGCCTGGAACCGAAGACGAAAGCGACATCGCAGGAGGAACACTGATCGGTGAACACTGGGTTCTGTCGGCCGCCCATCTGTTCAAGTAACTGGTTTGTGTTGTTAGAATGATGGACAGATATTTGATGAGTCATTCCATCTTTTAGATCAACGAGGGCTTCTTGGTTTGGCGTGCGGGTTGGAGCATCTTCGATGGCAGAAGGTGGAACCGTTATCGAAATTTCTGGTTTGTCGTACCATCCGAACTATAATCCGAAAAATATGGACTGTGACTTTGTATTGTTACGATTGCGAGAACCTTACACGATAGATTCAGTTGGGCGTGCGATACCGATGGTGCAAAGCGGCGAAGAGGTGGCCGATGGAACCACTTGTACGGCTAGCGGATGGGGTACCACGATGGGAACCGGTAGCAATGAGACGCTTCGTGCAGTGCAAGTACCGATTGTGAATCACGAGGTCTGTAGGAAGAACTATGCAGCCTCCAGGTTAAATGTGACGGAAAATATGCTCTGTGCCGGTTATGACGATGGGATGCGGGATTCTTGTACGGTAAGGCTGAACGATTGAAGTTGTTAAAAGTGATAAAATTACTTCATTTTGAATAACTAGGGTGATTCTGGTGGCCCACTGGTGTGCGATGGAAAGCTGGTAGGAGTGATCTCGTGGGGGAGAAAATGTGCTCAAAAGAACTACTACGGTGTATACGCAAAGGTGGCCAATGCCAGAAATTGGATTGAACAAAAGACTGGAATTTAATGTAAAAGTTACTCACAATAAATAAACTGGGGAAATAAGCTTAATTCTAAACTGTAAATTTAATTTGAAGAATGCTAGAAGTTCTCACCATCTGTAAAAACCTCCGTTGAGCACAAAACTAGCAAACGAAATTTATCACATCCCCCAAATCCAATTGCACTGTAAACAAAATTTATGATCGTGATTAAATGTAACAAATTTCTTCCAGGAAAACCATGACGTCTCTCGACGGTGTCCTCATCCTCCGTTGCTTCCGTATGCAACGTGGATATGATGTGTTGTTGTCATCATGCTCATCTCCAAGCAGATACCCTACGCTGCTGATGGTTGGATGGCATGTTGTAACTAGCATAGGAAGAAGTGGTATAGCCGAGTCGTGAAGCGTGCATAATTTTCTTTGCAAACAAAACTCTCAAGAAGCATATCCTTCCGCCTTTCATCCCTCACACAAGCAAGCGAGTAAGCATGCAACCAGGATCCACCCGAGGATCAACGTGTCGCTCGACCAAGTCGTATGTCTTCTGATGCTGGCTGGAGCTACGAACTGGATGTGAAGATGCAGCCGACACGCCTGGGTTGTAGTTGTTTGTTGCTCATTTTTCACGTCTTTTTTGCCGCCCAGCTACCTAAGCTAAACTACATACTTATTCTTAGCAAGCTACATAAAGGGGGGGGGGGTCTGAAGATAGAGAGGTGGCAACAGCATTGTACAAACTTTAGCGCGTCGCGTCGGTCTGTGTTGTCGACGTCGTCGTCACTCTCTGGCCCCCAGAGGGTATGGAACCTCCTCTTGTTGTGTGCCATTATTCTCGGTTCTTTCATCAGAAGTAAACAGCGGAAATTCCATTTCAGTGAACTTTTTCACAGAAACAGGCTCGGTTGGTATTCTAAAGCTGTATTCAGAGATGAGCGTTCATGAGCGGAGCGGAATTTGCGTTGCTAAAATAGAGCGAGAGAGAGAAAAGTACTGCACGCTCATGACTGCATACACCTTTAAAGAATTTCGTCCTGTTGTTTTGCCGCTTGTTGGTGGCAAATTCATCCATACATGGAGACACTGTCGTTTGTTGTTTTGAAATTCTTTTCTTCTCGGGATTTGAGGCGATGTTTCCCTTATGGCTTGTTCGAGTGTTGATGACGGATTAGCTATTTTTATGTATTGTTAGATTAATTCGTGTTTTGTTTAGGCACATCTTGAGATCTTAATTCAACATAAAATTTGCGAGTTTTTATATTTATTTAATTCTTATAATTTAGTTTTCAATTGTTCAATTGTTTCATCAGTAGCTCGTTGCTTGTTCAATTTTTTCGTTTTGCTTTTTGGTTTTTACTTTTTGCTATTCGATTTGACTTTAAGTATGAAGTTGAGGTTTGCATTATCTTATATTGTTTGTTCATGCCCATCTGTCTACGGCGAGGGAGATTTAATAATTGACACTTATGTACCTTTTCCCTAGTCAACGGTCATAGTAATGACGGTAATGGTTAATATACATTGAATTACGGCTACGCAATGCTAATGCAATTGAGCCTTGACAAATAAATGGATTACAACAAAAAAACTATCTGTCTGCGTCAGTTTTTTATTGTGAACGAAAAAATGACTCATGAAACAAATGTATAATGATCCAACTTGATTGAGCTTGCATAGAAACGCCTTGCTAAATCAATTTTCAGGAAAATCAAAGCAAGTTACCTGAGGCGATTTTAATCTTCGCATAAAGCCGTCCAAAAAGTCAAAACCAATTACCGAGATTGCTTCACAGATTTTCACTTGTTCTCCAAAATTTCTAGCCAGGAGGGGAGAACGGCCCATAATGCACCTCTGGGGTAAAATGCCCCCTTGTAGAAAAACAACGATAGCTTTTGCTCAGGTGCATATTCCGGGTAACGGATTGAGCTTGTTCTCATCTGGAGGCTTCACAAATAATTCCTGATCATGTAATCATATATTCATAATTTTGTGCTTGACCGCAAAATATGAAACCCGGATTTGTATGTTTTTAGTAGGGTGATTTCTATGTTAGGGTGGCTCAAAAAATCATTTTGACGTAGACTACGTCTTACGGAAAGGTACTGGGGGTAAATCGAAAATCTAAAATTGTGACCGTCACGAAAAGGTGTAAGGTTTTGAATATAAGCTCATTTGTCATTTATAGATGAAATTAAAATCCAAATACACCAATCGATAGGAAATAACTCTCGTAAGCTGTTACAATAAACGCGTTTTCAATGTTTCATAAAAAAACGGTTTTAATGTGTATAAATAAAAAGTGATAATTTTATCACTGTTTTCATGACATAAACGTTCTCCCCAAACCCAGTCGTGATAATCGAGTACCATTTGGTTGCACATCGTGCTGCTTGAATCTGAAAAGTTATAAAACAGCGCTGCTAATGTGCCTCAACTCATGTCACGCTTTGCTCGACTGTTGAGCTGTTCAGTTCGTTTTCTTTTTCGCTCGAGTTCTCGCTTCGATTCGGTTTGTGCTGTCGCGTTGCGCCGTGGAAGCGTCGCCACCTTCGCGCGTTCTGGCAAGTTTACTGCAACTTGCCAACACGAAACAAATGGTGCGTAAACGTACCAATGATTCAGCAGCGAGCCCTTCAAAGAAGGTGGTAATCCAGCACAGCGCGTCGCAGGATGACGCCGGAAAACGGGTACTGCAAGCCAACCAGTTTGCGGTGCTTCCCGAAGAAAATGGCGATGGTGACGTCGTTCCCATCGCTGCAAGAGAGCGGATTCCCCCGCTTTTCACGTTGCCAAGCTGCGTGCCGAACTGGCAAAACACAAGCTGCTGCCTCGCTTCAAGCTTTGCAGCATCGGCACCAAAATCATGTGCTCCAGCCTGGAGGAGTACAATCAAACAGGATGTTTCCTAAAGGAAAACAACGTTGACTTCTTCACGCACGATCTGCCATCGAGCAAGCCACTGAAGCTGGTATTGCGTGGATTACCGTCGTTCGAGGCGGCTGTGGTTAAATCCGAGCTGGAGCGGCTTGGGCTCAAACCTGAGGCGGTGTTCCCAATAAACCGGCGTTCCAACCACAACACCAGCTTCCGTGACCAGTTGTTCCTGGTGCACTTCACGAAGGGATCCACCAGTCTATCGGCTCTGAGATCCAATATCCGGGACCTGTTTCAGGTCATCATCAGTTGGGAGCATTACAAATCCCAACATCGTGATGTTACGCAGTGTATGAACTGCCTCTCCTACGGCCATGGCACCAAAAACTGCCATATGAAGACTATCTGCGGCAAGTGTGCTGGAACTCACTCGACTGCGTCCTGTGAGCAAGATGATGACATCGAGCCAACGTGTGTCAACTGCGGTGGGAACCACCAAGGCTCCAATCGCGGATGTCCCAAGCGAGTGGAGTTCATCAATATCCGTCGGAAGGCTACAATCAATAATCAGCCCGGTCGCCTCCGTAATCATCGTTCGCCTCCTGCACGCACGGAAGTCCAGTACCCAGCTCTCCAGCCCCGTCGACATGTTCTGAACTTAGTCCCACTTCCGCTCAACAACCAACAAGTCAAGCATGTGAGTATTCCTAACAATCGAACAGTCCAGCATCGTCTCGCTGCTGCTGCTGCCCTGCCAATGCCAGGTCCCTCCACCGCCCCTGGTTTATCATACGCTGGTGCTGTCTCAGGTGAGCCTGTCGACGATTCTCCGTTCACCTCGGAGGAACTTGTGACGCTCGTGGCCGAGGTCATCATCATCTTGCGCACCTGCAAGACTCGATCTGAACAGCTACATGCTGCCCTGTCCCTTGTCACTAAGTATGGACCGTGAAGCCATCAAGATCGTAAATTGGAACGCTTGCTCCTTGAAGAGTAAAAACATCGAGTTTGTTGAGTTTCTTAATGAACGAAACATCGACATTGCCATCATAACTGAAACCCACCTGAAGCCTGAAACAAACGTCTACCTTCCCGATTTCCGGCTCGTGAGACTAGATCGAACCAACTCTGGAGGAGGAGGAGTGGCTATTGCACTAAGGAGAAACATCTGCTGTCGACTGATGCCCAGCTTTCAGCTGAAGATCATCGAAGCCGTAGGGGTGGAAGTTTCTACTCCTATCGGCCCCATCACCATCGTCGCGGTTTACTGCTCCAAACAAGTCAACATCAGGGACGGATCGGCAGCAGATCTGCGACGAGATATTATCAAGCTAACACGACGACGGGAAAACTTTATCATCGCTGGCGACCTGAACGCCAAACATCAAGCTTGAGGCAACAATCGGCGCAATCAAAATGGCACCATCCTGAACAACGACCTGCAGGAAGCGCAGTACAACATCTTGAGTCCGGAAACTCCCACCCGGTTGAGTCGGTCCGGTGTTCACGCTACCATCGATATCTTCATCAGCAACATGGGCAACAACATCGCTCAACCTATCACCATTCAGGAACTCAGCTCGGACCACTACCCGGTGGTGACTGAGGTGGGATCCTCCGTAAATCGATTTGAAGCTTTCCGGCGCAACTATCATCGTCGACACCGCTGTAGACTACGATGTCCAACCGGAATCATCTGAAGATGTTGACCGGTGTCTGCGCTCCATCGATCAAGCAATTTCCCGGGCCAGGGAGCTACATGTGCCAGTATCCAGACAGGTGAGTAATACTCTGAACCTTGACAGGCCTACTAAAGACCTCATTAGACTCCGCAACACGATTCGTAGGCAGTACCAGCGTTCTGGGCTGCCTAACCTGAAGACCAATTGCAACCGTTTGAACAAAATCATCCAAGCCAGGATGGTGGATCTCAGAAATATCGATATTGCAAACAAGATTCGCTCTATCCCAGATTGTGCTAAGCCGTTCTGGAAAATGTCAAAGATTTTGAAAAATAAGCCGAGGCTCATTCCTCCCCTTTCCTCTCCTAACCAAAATTCGGACCCATCTTTACTAATAACCCCATTTGAAAAGGCCAATGCTCTTGGACAACACTTTGTAAATTCACATAACCTTGGCCATGCCATGGTGAGTCCCCACGAGCCTGCAGTATCACAGGCAATGTCTAGAGTCGCTGCCACCCCCGTAGTTGTCCCTGACGAAAGTAGAATATCGGCTGATGAGGTGATAGCAGCGATTAAATCAACAAAGAACATGAAGGCCGCTGGTGTCGA